TAAATTATACAGTTTATTTTTCTTAAATATTAGTTAAATATAAAATTAATTTATTAATTTAACCGTTGAAATTTATTATAGTACAAGTTGAACAAATTCCGTCACTGTATTTTTATTTGCTCGTAATTTTAAGTTTGAGACCTAAAAAAAAAAAAAAAAAAAAAAAAAAAAAAAAAAAGTCGGGGATCTTTGTTACAAAAATCACAATCTATACTCATCGATGATCAAGAGATCCCCATTTTTCCCTCACAAGAAATTCCTAAGCACGAAAAGGGGGGGCCTCCGAAGGGTGTGAGTTGCTGATAAGAACGGACTACTGATAAGGAATGTGGCGTCTCTACGGAATAGTTACGAAGAAAAGAACCACATGACCTGCTACTATTACCAACTATTGTATAATGCTAGAATCTTATGAAAAATAATAAATAAAGAAATTTAATGACACTCTAGTGATAGAGAAACAGATATTTTATAGAGAACAGAATGTTACTTATCTGAATATTCCGTGTCAGGGCCTCTTTTGGATTTCTCGTGTTGATAGTGAACAGCTAACAAAACACCTGAAGTTTCGAAGAAGCGAAATTTCCTTTTTCAATTTGATGAATGAGATATTGCATAGGAAAGGTGCATTTAACTATTTTAGAGAGTTGAAAACATTTTTGAAACACTTATTTAAAAAATTTCGGAGCTGTGTTTAGACACTGCCTCCAGCTTTCGTGATCGCAGCGCTCCCTCCATAGACAGCTCCGGGGAAAATAACTTGCCGCCAACATGTAGACATTTCAGTTACAATTATAGAAATAATTTTCAACCATGGCCTGTTAGTTAGAACAATCGTTTCAAACTCAAATTGCATACGCTCTGAATGCATAATCTAAAAACAACTGACAGGCCGTATTTTTTTTAACCAAAATGGGAAATTTTATTAGCAAAAATTTTATTATCGGGTTTTAACGAAAGTTTCCCCTGCCACCGCAAATATCGTCTACGCTGTGTCTACCGAAGACTTCATATATAGTTCGTCGGCGTATTTCCAAACCCTACCCTAAGGCTCCTATAATATTAGGCTATTTCTTGTTATAATGCTGTTCAATATATCTTCAATACTTTTGTAAATTTAACGACATTCTTTGCAATCACTGTGGTGCTTTAAAAAGAAGTTTCTTAGTTATGCTTTCTAATAAGAATGGGTTTAAAATTAAGTATTATGTATAATAACTAGCAGTTAAAAAAACTTGACTGCATGAAAATGCTGTTGCTGTGTAAAATAAAAATAAGCTTTCTTTTATGCTTTGAAATGAATTACATGTGGTTAAGTCGTCCTTTTACAATTTAAGAATATGTGGTTAACACACATTCTTAAATTGTAAAAGGACAGGTTTTTACCTAAATTATTAAGTATAAAATATATAAACTATGAATTATTTTGTAACATAACTCAAATTAACAAAATTCATTCTATATACTGTTCAAATTTATTATCTTTTATGTAATAAACTGTTTTTTAATTTTGGTAAAAATTGGATTTTTAGAAGTATTACAAACACAATGCAACACAAATGTGATCTGATTGGAGGAGGAAGGACTTTTATATTACGGTTTCTAGTTACGTATTTATATTACATTTGGTGAAAAGCATCCAAAACACAGAATGCTGTACTTTCTTCTTCCATATATGTTATGAAATATTTCACACATTTAAAAGAAAGTGTTTCTTCAGAGTCTTGCACAATTATTTCCATATACCTCAGATTTAAATGACAACATATTCTTAAGTTATTTTTTTAGTATGAATTTACAGTGTTTTTAAGGAAATTTTTGTTAAAATGTCATTTAGATAAATTTATTTGCACACTCTACGCTTTAACTATTTCCCCATTTAACACTATTGAAAGTTTTTATTCAATTTTAGTCTGCTAACGAAACTGAAACATCTAAAGAATAAGTTATTTTGAATATGTTTACAAAATATACACGAAATTTTTATTTAAGTGAAAACGTCTATATACTATTCGAGAATTAATAAATTATCCAAAAAGACGTATCCCACTTTTGACTACTACGGCGCGTTTTCGAAAGAATTGTGGTGTTGATTGGTGTGTTTGGGTGCTAATTGTGAGATTTTCGCAATTTAAATTATTATGAGTGGAAATTTAAGCAAAATCTTTAGTGAATAGTTGCTTATCACCGTAGTGTACTTGAGGAAAGAGGAGAATAATTCACTGCTGATGCATTAACAGTATGAAAAATTTGGAAGACTCGGCAATAAATGTGATGCATTCATCGCAAAATTCAGCGAAGCCAGTAAAACAAACGAGTGTTCGCAAAACTTATCCACATCTGAAGTCACTATACAAAAATTGTATGTGTGCCAACCCAGATATTTTGATAAATAAATAAATTTAAAAAAAAACTTGCAGAAAACTTTAGATCAAGGAATAAGAAAGAATTGCAGTCCCTCTGTGTGCTTAAAAACTACGAAGCATTCTGCAGACTTTTATACCAAAATCAAGGTTGACAAATAGATTAATAAATTTTAATGTTTCTTTTAGTGTATATATTTCAAAAGTATTAAAATAACTTGGACAGTTGTTTAATTGCTTAAAACAGCAATAAAGTTCATTTATAAAGATATACAAGGAACTCATAATTATCAAAATATTTCATTGCTTTGGTGAAAAACTAAAATTACCTAACTTTTATAACATTAAGTATCTTCGTAACTGTAGTATTATGCTCTGTTTTATAACTTTATTCATTTGTTATACATTGAAATATTTTGTTTTATTTACTAAACGTGTAATCAATTATCAGGATTACTAAATGTGTTAAGAATTTCCATACATGCTTGTGCAGTTTGATTGCATTTTTGTGTAATGAACTTTGATTTTCATGAACGAAAAAGAAAGTTCAAGTGTGTGTCTGTACAATTTTGACGATATAAATACTGAAATGTGTGTAAAAATTCAACTAAGAAATATCCGGAAAGCTCTGGAAATTTTGGATAGTCGAGCATATAAAAAATGAAATACTGTAATAAGTGAATGGAAGAATAAACTACTAGTCTAAAATCATAAAAACAGTTCATCTTATTTGTATCAACTTGACTATCAAAAGCCAATATTTAATATTATGCACGATTTTGAAAAAAATGTATGCTGCTGATCCACAAGATACCTGTGACAAAATATCGGGTTCAATGGAACTTATAACATAATCATATTTTGTTAGATCTGCACTAATTTTTGCATTTCTAAATTGTGCTTCTAGTTGAATAAACCATATTTTAGGATCTGGCTTCCAAAAAGGAGGAACTTTAAGGTTGGGTAAAATTTCCTCAGTTAAATAAAAGAATTTAAGTAATTTCTGTAGCCTTTTTGTCAATACATTAAAGATTTTTTAATTAATTACACGTCCTCGCTTGCATTTAGAACCATCATTAACAATTATTTCCTGAACATTATCATGTATATAGATTGACCTCGTCTTTGTAACTAACAATTATTACTTATAAATTATTCTCTAGCTGGTGAACTATTAACAACCCTTTCTGTTGCTGAGTTAGGGTTAACAACCTTCGCTCTGGCTCAGGGGCGTAGCTAGGGGGGGCAAGGGGGACATCTGTCCCTGGGCGCAGACTCCAAGGGGCGCCAAACTGATGTTACGACATTTTAGCAGTAGGGGGTGTGAAATCTTCAGTTGTCCCTGAGCGCTGAAAACCCTAGCTACGACTCTGCTCTGGCTACCGCCTGCCTTACGGAAATCGGCGTAAAATACTGGTACCTGAGCTGACTGTGCGCATGCGCGAACGTAGATGGTGTGAATAGCCTCTTAGCTATTCGTACCGTCGGTGCGATTAGCCACTGCGCCATAAATGCCGGTTGACTTTTCAAATTATTGCAACCAAATATTAGAGCCCTATGCAATATTTAAAGAAATTAAATAATAAAGAATCTGCATAAATGTATATATATGTTTCTCGTATTGTGATAAAATAACGGTACTTAGAGCCATCAAATTTTGAATAATGTAATCTTCCTTTGAATGAGGGCATCTGGAAGCCCGAAATTGAAATTTGAAATTTGTTTTGTTATCGATTTCATATTTTGTAACACTTTAACGAATTTTTTATTAACAAATTCAGCGATTTCAAAGCAAGCAATGGCAATAATGTACGAAAAAAAAAATTTTTTTTTATCTCTAGTGCGCGAGATTGTGTATCGGAAATTTTAAAGATATGCTCATTTTAAAATTATTTTGCGATTTTGCCGTTGAATTGAATTTTATGGTTTAAGTGCGAAGAACATGATATTGAATAATTAATAAAGAATAAAGGCAGCACACAAAACGTTAAAAAAAAACTCCTCTTTGGACGTAATGTAAAATCAGATAGCCTTCAGATTTTTTTTTTTTTTTTTTTGAATGACTTGAAATGCAAACAAAATAGATTAGCAGTTAAAAAAGCTTCAAATTCGGAAATGTGTACTATTCATTATTGCTTTATCTACTACTGCCATGTTATATTTTCGTCTATCTCCGGTAAAACGATTATTACCACCTCCATTATGAAACTTTCGTACTGTAAGGTATGAGATTCATTTTTAGCATTTACTTGAAAACTAACACTTTAAAGTTCCTAATTTTTCCTTTTTTTAAATTTCCTTACCTGACGGTCATTAGTTTTATCATTTTGATGATTCGGTTTTAGAAAGTTGCATAAAACAATTAAATTTTAAGTAAATAAATAAAATGATTTATTAGTGGCCTTTTGCAAGCAGGGGCATTTAATATTTCTTATTAAAAGATGAATCGAATATTTTTCCAATACCTGCTATATTTCTTACTGGTTTTTACAGTAAAAAAATATTTTTGACCTTCATGTATTTTATCACAAGATTAATTTTCTAGTAATTTAGCGTAAAATAATAGTATTTCACTTCAACTCAGCACAATCCGGATTTCGTTGTTCTGCATCTCCGCATCTGTGACGTCAGAGAGATCTTATTATATGCGTTGCGGCGTGATTATTATAAAGTCACATCTATAAGAAAAATAGTAATTGTGCATTTAAAGCATCAAAATTGCTGAAGTTTATTGAGAGATTAAAAAGCAAAAGCTATATAGTTATTTTTGAATTATTTAAGTTCATGGCAGGAAACGTCATCGAGCTGCAGTTACCTTGTTGAGGCCTTCCAAGTTTCTATTTGCGATTTTATATTTCTGTTGTTAGTCCTGTTGCAGTAATGGCCGCTATAGTCAGCGAATCGTCAGGTATTAATTTTTTTAAATAAGTTAATTTTTAATTCAATATTTTAAACTGAATTTTTATTTTAATTGTGATTTAAAAATTTAATAATAAGTATTATTTGTTCGTGTAGATTAATTTGTTTATGAATGGTATTATTTAGTGTCATAAAGTTACATGGTATGTGCATTTTCTCTTTGATAAATCTGATCTTTCAAGTACGTAGCTGTTTTTTAAATAGTTGTGAAGGTCTTTTAAAATGGGTTACGTATGTAATTTACGCGATCATTTCTAAGTTATTCTGTTAACAAAATTTTTTATGTTGTTACTGTGAAATATATTTGTAACTCTGAAATTAAGTATTCACACTTTCTAAGAATTATAATGTAAAATCAGTAAGAGATTTGATTAATAATTATTTCATGTGATAATTATTAAGTTTGTTGCATGCTAACGTTTACGAAATGTGCTTTTAAATCATATTAGAATCGCTAAATATTTTAGTTTTTTAAAAATATTATAGGATTTTTTTCTAATATTTTCTTGTCTTTATTCTTAAGGTGTGAATGGAAATAAAAGAAGCAAAACCAATGACCTTAATATAACTACCGCCGTTGCTTTGCAAAGTGAGTTGATACGCGTTTTATTTATGTGAACTTCAGCGATTTTCAGTCTTATATAGCTGATAATATTTGTTTTGATTTACTAAGTGTGAAATTTTCATGTTGATATTTCCTCTCTCCATCAGCGCTATGTTTTATTCATTTTTAAGTCATATTAAAGGGTAATAAAAATTCATTTAAAAATACAATTTAGTATTAATATACTGAAATTAACTGGTTAAACGTGATATACGAAAAAAATTCCTTTTAAATACCAGTTAGCACAGAAAACAATATATTCCTTACACCAGCAGTTGTTTGCTAATTTTGGTGACCATGGGGATGCATCAAACTATTCTGTCATCTTAGATAGTCAATATTTTTTATTTCGATTTAATCATCTATTTATGTCACACCTGTGATCCTCTGAATGGTTATTATTAGAAAAGCATTGTTAATACTTTTCTAACGAGCAACAACATATATTATCTTGTTAAAATTTTATGCCATAAAAATTGATTTATTCTCATAATTTTAGATGACAATAACCAATAATAAAAATAAAAGCATTACTTAATTATTTAAAATGCACATGCACATTTTTGTGGCCTACGAAAAAAATTATTTTAGAGTTTGGAAACCTCATGGTTCTTAAAGCTATGACAGCTATCTTGGTTTTTAATTCTCTCACTTTATTCTTTATGGTTTCAGTTCTAGGGGCGCTAAACTGATCTAAAACCAAAAGAGAGGGTTTTCTTAACCTTTAACTGCTGTGAGCGGTCTCTCAGACCGCGAGACGTTTTCCTTTAAATGCTTCCACCCCTTAGAATAATTAATGGGTATTGCCATTCCTAGTACCTTCCTCAATCAGTTGTCCAATGTCACATACCAAGTTGGGTAGCTCTATTTCTTCTTTCACTTTTTAAAATTTCCCCCCCTCAGCGATCTGTGGGACCGATCACAACAGATACAATTCAAATTTCGGTTGATAAAGTTCACTTTTCGTTGTTGCATATTTCGTTTTTTTATAAATATTCTTGAAATGGATTCAAATGCGTGCAGAAAACGTTCTAAATATCTTACCTAAGACCAAATTGAATACATAGTTCAAAATTTGTCTAATTTAGAGTTCTCTGATGAAAGTTCTCATGATGAAATTATTAAGAGCGACCATGACACAACTTCAGAAATATCTGCCGAAGAAAATGAAAATCCATGTTCTCCTTCTACAAGAGATCTTTTTATTGGAAAAAATGAATTCAAATGGTCTATTCAAGAGCCCAACAAGGGTGTTCGAACTCGTAGTCACAATATTATACCTCGTTCAATTTATTCAACTGCTCGTCGAACCCAACGTTGACCTATGGCAATATTCTTCAGAAACTTGGATATCTGTGCAACAAATGCATTCGTATTATTTCAATCTTATCCCATTGGCTCCAAAAATGAAACGAAAAGTTTCATTAGCAATTCAATTGGTGCAGTGTCATGTAAAACGGAGGATAACTTCATCATTTTTACATAAAGAACTCAAACTTACAATAAGAAGAGTTTTCGGAATAAATGATGATGAAGGAAACATTGCGATTGAAGACGATAAATTAGATTAAAAAAAAACGTGCTATATTTTGTCCACCGAGCAAAAAAAAAAAAGAAAAGAAAAAAAAAGAAAAAAGCCTACAAATGTATACAATGCCAGTGTACCTTCAATGCAGTAGAAAAGTGTGTATAAAATACAGTTCGAATTATAATTTTTGAAATAAAAATTCCTTTTCTATATTCTTAAAAAAGCATTCTTATCGCAAATTTTAATGTAAAATAAAAATGTTAAATTTTAAAATTTACTTCTTCCATCCAGATACGTAAGCGAAGGAATTATAATCATAATATATATTTTATTTCTAATGAACTGATTTAAGTATAAAAATTACTTTATATCTTCATGGAAAAGTTAAATATATGCAATTAAATAACATTTATTCAAATAACAAAAGTAAAAAAAAAAAACAAAAAAAAAAAAAAAATATATTTTTTTGTTTTTAGCAGAAGTGGTCTGAAAGACTGCTCACAGTAGTTATGCGCAATTTAAGTCACAGTAGTTAAAGGTTAAAGAGTCCACCAGGTCGCCTCGCCCATATGTTCTGTAACCACAGTTTCATTCCAGCTTCGTCCATCCAGCCTTTCGGATGAACATGAACAATTACACCCGTTGGAAGTTTTTCTTTCAGATCAGTTTTTCTTTTGAATATGAAAAACGGCGGTAGTTTTGTGCCATCAGCACAGCATGTTAGAACTACCATATATCTGGTTTTTTCGTGACCTGTGGTTTTTCTGGTTATTGATTTAGACCCTTTAATACTCACGGTCTTGTTGGATGGTACATCAAATGTGAGTGGAATTTCATCCATATTTCCTATTTGACCGAGCTCAAAAGACGTTTTCTTGTGTGCATTTATAACAACCATATGAAATGCTAGTATTTTTACTTCATAATCTGCTGGCATTTTCTGTGCAATAGTTGTTTTTGTGCGCATTGATAAGCCTTGCCTTTTCATGAACCTGTAGCACCAGACCTCAGACCCTGAAAAGTTCCGAATCCCACGTTTTTCTGCAAATCATTTGGCCTCATTAATTATCATTTTGGCTGAAACACTTATCCAAGATTTCCTCTTATCTATCACCCACATTTTACAGCATTTTCAAGTTCAGGCCAAGATGGAGCTGGGCATCGAAGGTTAAGTTTTTGTTTTTTAGCAGTCTTCAGTTGATCTTCCTGCAGTCGCCAAGTACGTATCATTTTTTCGGTAGGTGGTGGACCGAAATGCCTTGCTGCTGCTGCTGCTGTTTCTATGTACTTTGGCGTAGTTTAACACTCCTAGTTTATACTGAATTGTATAGCTAAATCTCTTGTTTCCTGTAGTCATGTTTTCCAGGGTATTTTTTTAAAACAAGTAGTTTTAAGCACCGATACCGACACCTTTATACAGAGTAGCACTGATACCGACACGTGTGTAGGCTGAGTCAAAGAAAGTCTATGTAAAGAAGGAAAGGCTCCATAGACGTAATGTGACCGTCGAACCTGTTCGAACTTCGACATCAGCTTCGAGCTTTGGCGCTTTTTGGCGACAGATATTTCACGCATGCGGAAAATAATTATGGCAGATGTAGAAAAAGTTATGCGTGTCTAGATGTTTATCTAGTCTAAAAATACGAGGGCTGTAAATTAAGTAATCACAACATAGGTATAAATCAATTTTTAATGAACTTACAAGTACAATTACATTACATTCCTTCTATGTAATCACCAGCAAAGTTTATAACCTTTTGCCAAATGTCGGGAAGCCGTTGTAGACCAGTGGCAAGGTATTGGTTGTTGATGTGAGTGACTGAGCTCCCTACTGCATAGATTACAGATGAAAGGTCATGAAATCGATCACCTCGGAAGGGTTCTTTCAACTTTGGTACAGATCGAAGTCACAAGGACTGTTGCCAACAAAGTCTGCTTGGCGAGATTTGCGCCGGCGAAACAAAAAAGTACCATTTATTCGAATTATATATATTATACATTTATTTTATATTTATAGATTTTGATACTTGCACATGATTTACATGTGCTCTCAGGATTTAAATGATATTGTAGATTAATTCGCAGCAATTTGTAATTCAGTTTCATTTAAAATTTAATTAACTTTAAATTTGCTTTTTACGAAAGAAAATGTTTGTGTTAAATTCAAATTTTTCTAATTTTCCTTACATTTGGCCAGTATTTAATTAAGTTTTGATTAAACTTGTAGAACTTCAGTTTTAATAATGCAGTAGTGTATTACAAAAAATTGCTTGCAATAATCATTCTCTATTTATTTCAATTTTATTTAAAATTAAAAAATTCAAACTTAAATTTAAATTAATTCATTAAAATTTTTTATACGAATTTAATTTTACTTAAAATTTTTTTTTTAACTTTATTTTAAAACATTTTTTCAAATTTTTAGAATCCTTAGCAGTGTAATGTATTTTGCAGTAATTTACAAAACAGACAATCTTCTTAGTAGAACATAAATTTTATTTCTAGTCACGGCGATAGACAAATTTTATACAATTCTTAAGTGGCAAAATTTTCATACTACTCCTAGCTGGTGAAATCTTCAGAATCCTAATCTTTTTAAAACAATATCTCATGTTGCTGAGTAACAGTTTAATATAAATATGGCGTTGCCACTTCAACAATAATTATATTTATTTATTAAGTAACAAGATATTACAACCTCTTCCCCTTCCAGATAAACTTTAATTTATATTTTTATAAATTAAAGTTTTTTTTTTTTTTTCAAAACAACATAATCAGCACAATACAGAATCAAAATACAAGATATAGCATAATAACATGCACTGAAGAAGAAAGGAAGGAACAAAATATTTTTTTATCTATATAGAGAAACAAATTATATAATCAGCCAGGGAGTACGACTTAATGCGTCTACATTTTGATGGTTTTTACCACTTCAATGAACGGTCGTGTAGTTGTAGGGTTGTACTAGTGCCCATCTCATAAGTCGTGGATTTAGACTCAGATTATTTTTGAGCCAAACTAAGGGATTATGATCGGTCATGATGAGGAGTTTAGTATGCCCGTCTAAATAACGTTGCAAGTTTCTTTACAGCAAATATTATGGCGGCGCATTCCTTTTCTGTGGTAAAGTACTTTTTTTTTTTCAGTTTCTGTAAACTTCTTCCTGAGGTATAATACTGGATGTTCATTGTCTCGTTCATCTTTTTGAGCTAAAATGACACCCATACCAGAGTTTTGAAGCATGCAAGTTTGCAAAATAAACTCCTTATTGAATCAGGTGCATGTAGTATAGGCCTTTGAGACGTTTTCCTTTAGCTCTTCAAATGCTTTTGTGCACTCTTCTGTTCCAATTATTTTCCCTTTCTTTAAGTTTCCTTTCAAAGTTTCTGTTAAAGGTGCTGCTATAGATGAGAACATGGGAATGTAATGATTATAATATTCCGCTAATCCTAAA